TCGTTAAACGTCTGCCTTCGGCTCAGGTCATGATCCCAGGGTCCTGGGATCGAGCCCCGCATCGGGCTCCCTGCTCTGCGGGAAGCCTGCTTCTCCCTCTGCCACTCCCTCTGCTTGTGTTCCCTCTCTCGCTGTGTCTCGCTCTGCCAAATACATAAATAAAATCTTTAAAAAAAAAAAGTTAATGAGAAATAAAACCAGGAGAGGTGCCTGGAGAGAAAAAGCAAAAGGAAGGGCAGATGAAAGGAGAGATATGGAGGAAATGAAGCAGCCATGATGGTCTAGCTAATTAACAAGCAGAACCATCCAATGTGGGGGAGTTGGGTGTGAATTGTGTCTCCAGGCAACAGGCCCAATTCCTACTCCACAATCCAGTGAGGCCAGTCAGAAAAGGTGGTGGAAGGTGAGCAGAGAAGGGAAACGCTTCACTCCGAAGCTGCTCTGGGGGACAGCTGAGATTGACTGTGGGGATCAGAGAGGATAAGGCATCTGGAGAACGTGGGAAAGTCAGGGGAGCCAGAAAATTGAGCTGTGAACCATTAGTGGTACCCAGGCCCAGAATGGAAGGCAGGCTGGCTTGGGGACTTCCCATCCATGGTCAGAAACCAGGTTTCACCGCACTCACGTTCATAGTAGTGGTGGGAACAGGTTTGCTGGGAGCAAAATGGGGCGTGAGACAGAATGAGGCAGCGGTGGGCTGGAGTCTGCTAGGGCCAGCACTAGACTATAGACTTTGCTCATCTCTTCCCAAACTTTGTGACTGGGGATGTCAGGTTGGCAGCTTGAAATCAGCAGTGGTGAGCGTATTCAAACCATGGAGATCAGGAAACACTACAAATCAGGACTATGGGGGTGGGGCAGGGTGGGGAGAGCTGTGCGGGTTCTTAACGCACCACTGGGTAAAGTCCCACCCGCCAGAAGAGCTCCCAACAGATAAGGGACACAAGCAGATTCAAGCTATCTATCCTTTGATCCCATAAAGGAAATGAAACATGCTCTCTCTTTCTCTCTCTTTCTCTCTCACTCTCTCTCTCAAATACATTATTTACAGTTCTTAGGAGAAACAAAGTAAATACCATACATACATACATTATTCATGTATTTGAGAGAGAGAGAGAGAGAGAGAACGATTACGGGGAAGGACAGAGGGACAAGCAGACTCCCTGCGGAGCAGGAAGCCTGATGGCGGGGCTCAATCCCAGGACCCCGGGATCATGACCTGAGCCGAAGGCAGACGCTTCACCGACCGAGCCACCCAGGCGCCCCAGGAAATGAAACTTTTTACAAAGGACATGTTGCTTTCTAAAACATAAAAATAATCATGTTAAAAACTTAAAAAGAACTCTGCCTCCCTAGAAAGCAGGTAAATAAAATGAGGGTGGCCTTGGCCACTTTCACTTACGTGAAAGTGAGAAAAAAAGAACCAGGAAAAACAAAACAAGTAGCGGGCTAGAGGAGACACCAGTGATGTGTGTGTGAGAGAGCGAGCATGGGAATGACCTGCTCAGGGTACCAGTCAAGTAGCACATTCAGAGATGTGACGCTAAAAGTTTACCTCACTAATACAATTGGCTTGAATCTCTCCTTCCTCTGTTCATTTCTACCCTCCAGATTCCCTAGATTGAAAACAGCTCTCTCTGTGCGAGGATGGATTCTGGGAAGGGTATGAATGGGGGGGACAAGCCTTGAGCCTTTGAAACAGAAATCCTCCCTCAGCCTGTCCTCTGTGGCTGTGGAAAAGTTACCTGAGCAGTAGGCAAGAGAACCCAGCAAGGGGGCCTTTGTTTGGGGTTTCACCTGCTGTATTTCTGAGTTTTCATTCAGCTTGGTCCTGAAAGCTGATATTCAGAGGGTATCAAAATTCCTATTTCATCTTTCTATCATGAGACTCCAGCTGTGTCTGGGGATGGAAACATATTAGGTATGTGGCTCAGGCTATCTTAGATTAAGTGAAAGGAAGATGGCTATCTGTTTGGAGGGCACAGATCAAATCCCCAAAGGCCACAGCTGTATTTTCTCACCAGAAGAGAAATAGTTACCACCAATCTTTTCTATGGCATATACAATTTACAAAGTGCTTTTTTATTAAATATATTTTTATATTATATATTTTTAAATTTATTATTTTTTATTTTATTTATATATTTTTATATTATATATTTTATATCATTTACAAAGTGTATTTTATTAAGTAATAACCTGTGGTCAGTATTATCATGGTCTCTCCTTTGCACAAGAGGACACACACTCAGAGGGGTTAAGTAATTAGAAGAGCTGGCCTTGAGCCCAAGGACGTGGATTGCCTGCACCATGTTCCTTCAGTGAACATCCCAGCCAGGCTGACTAACCTGTGCCCGTTCACAGGAAGCCTTACCTGTAATTCTCCCCAGCTGCCCATTGTACATCTTTCCAACAAACCCGGCTATGTGGGCTCCTAGACTTACTCCAATCATATAAATGTTGTCAAGAGAAGCTCCTTGTACCTGGAATTTCAAGAGGTCCATCATTATAAATTGTGAGGGGCCGAGGAGTTGACAACACTTAGAGAAATATCCTCAACTTGACTTCAGAAACAGTTTTTGGGAGAAACATTTCTAAACAACTTATATCTATGAGCTCACTTAAATGTCACAACAACCCCACGAGGTAAATACCATTCTTTTGATTATACAGAAGAGGAAACTGAGGCCCAGAGTCAAAGTAACCTGCCCAGTATCAGGCAGGTGGGGAGGGACAGAGCAGGAGTCAAACCAGTCTGTTCAACTCAAAGCCTGGGCCTTAACCTTTATGCCATGGTCTCCATCCATGCTTCTGCTAGAAATCAAGCTTGGACATCTCTAATTCCCTCCCAGTTGAGGAAAAGGGCAATGAAACATTTTGGTGAACTCCTTTATCTTCATGCTGACTCAGTTAATGAAGTCACCACAGACAGAGAAGGAAGGAAAGGAAAGGAAGGAGTGGGGTTGGGGACAACACTGACTGCAGTCAGCTGGGACAGCCTGTGGTGAGTCATGTTAATATTATTCACTCTCCCAGGGCTGTGACTTAAGTGGGGAGCTTTTGTGAAAATTCTGTTGTCCCTGGCCTACAGTGACCACCAGGCCTGATTCTCTCTGAGGTAGTTTTGATATAAAGTCACTTTTTTTGGTTGTTTTTGTTATTTTTGTAAAGGGGGTAATTCATGAGATAGATCACTAGATAAAATTTAAGGTTTATTTAATCTTTTTGAGTCTTCTAAAAACATAAATCATACACAAAAATCTCTCATCAGACCACGTGTATCAGTTTTGGTTGTGGATAATCAGGTCGGTAAACTTTAGGCATTTCTAGGAAAGGGAATAGCTCGAGAAGATGAGGAAATTCTACACAGTGAAGCCAGAAACCCCCCAGACAGAACCTCTCTTACCCATAAGACACCTTTATGTGAATTAGAAAAAGATGTCCCTTCCTGAGGACACTTAACTGGGAAAACATCATAATAAATATATAGATCTACAATGTGTACCATAACACTGGTGCTCCCTTAGATGGGTGCCCTGTGCAGTGCACAACTTGCACAACCATACCTATGGGCCTTCCCTCCAGCTGTGCTCTCTACCTTCCCTGAGACTTAGTTGGGTTTTCAAAATAGTCCCTCTTGGTTTTATCTTTTTATCTTTTAAAACCAAGATATCTCTTGGTTTTAAATCTCCAGACAACAGGCCAGTTTTAATTTGGCTCTGAATCATATAAGAGAATTCTCTCTTACCAACATCTGGTCGATAAATCCCTTCAAGACTATTGCTACTTTTCTGGTCTTACTAGAGGCATGGTTGTATATTACAGTTGTAGCTCCTCGATTCCAATCAACAACAACCACATTCATGTCTTCTACATCGAGCAAACCCTGTATTAAGTCCTCCATCCAAACTGGAACGGAGCCTGTAGGCCTGAATCCATGGATAATGAAGGTGGTTTTCTTGGTCACGTTCAAGTTCCCCAAAACTGTGGAGTTGATGACTTGTGCACAGGTCCAGTATCTCCTTGTGTAGAGCATCAACTTCACATTTAGTCCTGTACCAACCACTGCACTGTGAAAGCTCAGTCTGGTGAATGAAGGACATGTTTCATCTGTGTCTGAAAATAAAAATTAGATGGCATCATGACGGTTCTTTCCTTAGTTGGGGGTCAAGCAAGAGTGCTGCCCTACATTCATTGGCCTTCTTTCTGTGCTTCACAGCACCCAGCAGAAGACTGGATCTAGTTGAATGAAGTTGCAAAGTCATACCTGATTCAGCATAACTAAACAGTGACTTTTTTTTTCACCAGGAAAACCATTTTTCCAAATCTTTTTTTTTTTAAAGATTTTATTTATTTATTTGAGAGAGAGAATGAGATAGAGAGAGAGAGCATGAGAGGGGGGAGGGTCAGAGAGAGAAGCAGACTCCCTGCCGAGCAGGGAGCCCGATGTGGGACTCGATCCCGGGACTCCAGGATCATGATCTGAGCCGAAGGCAGTCGCTTAACCAACTGAGCCACCCAGGCGCCCCCATTTTTCCAAATCTTACTCTCCTCCAAGATCTAACCCAAGTCACCTCGATGAAACCTACTCCAACTCTCCCAGCTTTAAATACTGTCTTTCAACCCAGAACTCCCAAAACCCCTGTATGTACCTTATTGACAGCAAAATGAAAGCACTTGCAGGGGTGTATTATGGGTATTTATGGACATGTGTGTCTATTTTGTTGGACCACCTCCTTGGAATGGGTGTCTTCTAATCTGTGTATCCCTCACAGTGCCCAGCACATAGTAGAGGTCTCAGCAACTGCATCTGCATGGTCCAACCATATCTTTCCTTTTCTAGAGCACCTGCCTGGGACAACAGTGGAAAAGGTGATGTGCCCTGTCCTGAGCCTTTCAGTAACATCTGAAACAGTGGACCATGGTGCCTTCTTGAACCCTCTCCTTATTCTTTAAGCACCATCTTCAAGCATTCCTCCTGCTCTGTAATCTCTAAGAATGGCCTTAGGAGAAAGTTGGGGGATGGGGTGGAAGCAAAAGATCAGGCTGGAGCATCTTGTTATGGCAGAAAGTAAGAGACTATTTAAAAATTTGGGACGCCTGGCTGGCTCAGTTGGTTAAGCGTCTGCCTTCAGCTCAAGTCATGATCCCAGGACCCCTACTCAGCAAGGAGCCTGCTTCTCCCTCTGCCTGCCACTCCCCGTTTGTGTGCACTCTCTCTCTCTCTGTGTCTCTCCCCGACAAATAAATAAAAATAAAATCTAATAAATAAATAAAAATGTGTCATAAGGACATAGAAAGCGAGATTGAAAGGGCTTCCACTGGCCAGATCTGGGATATTTGAGCACTAAATAATTAAGGACAGTAATGATTTATGGACCTTTGGAGAAAATTAGAGATCCATGATTCCATAACAAATAGACAAGCAAAGAAACAAATCAATGGAAGCGAGAGGAGGACTCTTGCAGTATAGTGCTGAATGTCAACTGGTAAATGTGGGGTGAATGCTGGGGGTGAAACTCATCATTTTGTAGTCATCATAATAAAGATTGGTTAGGCAGGAATAATTGGTGGATGCTAAAACTGAGGAGGTGGTTTATTTTGAGAAGGAGCACATGTATATGGTCTTAAGTTTTGTCCCCCAGATTGCTAATTAGTAAGTAGGGGGAAAGTAGTAACTATACAATGGAGGAATTGAACAACACCTTGACTAGGTTATCAAACTGAACATTACCCATGAGGGGCAGACAGACACATGTGCCTTTAAGCTGTAGTATTCCAGAGGGGAATGTATAACCTGAACCTACCCCAGGGTAAAAATCACACAAACACAAAATGAGGAATAATCTGTTTTTAAAAAGAATACCTGTAGGGGGGGCGCCTGGGTGGCTCAGTCATTAAGCGTCTGCCTTTGGCTCAGGTCATGATCCCAGGGTCCTGGGATCGAGCCCCGCATCCGGCTCCTTTCTTCGCAGGAAGCCTGCTTCTCCCTCTCCCACTCCCCCTGCTTGTGTTTCTGCTCTTGCTATCCCTCTCTCTGTCAAATAAATAAATAAAATCTTAAAAAAAAAAAAAAAAAGAATACCTGTAGGGTTTGGGTGTGATGTAACTGTGGCCGGCACTGGCAGGGAAGGGGGCTTGTGGTACTCAAAAAATGCCTTTTTTTTTTTTTTTAAGATTTTATTTATTTATTTGAGAGAGAGAGAGAGGGAGAGAGTGCAAGCAGAAGGAGGAGCAGAGGGGGAAAGATTCTCAAGCAGACTTCATGCTGAGCAGGGAGCCCAACGTGGGGCTCAATGCCATGACCTGATATCATGACCTGAGCCAAAACCAAGAGTCAGATGCTCGACTGACTGAGCCAGCCAGGTGCCCCCCAAAAAAATTCTCAAAGAAAAAACATTTTTTAAAGATTAAAAATAAAAAGGGACCCATATTCTTAAAAAAGATCAATGTCATAAAGGACAAAGAAAGGCTGTGGAAATGTTCTAGATTAAAGGAGATTGAAGAGATGGGATAAACAAATGCAATATCTGGTCTTAGATTGGATCCTATAATGGAAGAAAAAAATTTCATACAAGAAATCATTGGAGGGGCGCCTGGGTGGCTCAGTCGTTAAGCGTCTGCCTTTGGCTCAGGTCATGATCCCAGGGTCCTGGTATCGAGCCCTGCATCAGGCTCCAGCCCTGCATCAGGCTCCCTGCTCCGTGGGAAGCCTGCTTTTCCCTCTCCCACTCCCCTGCTTGTGTTCCTTCTCTCGCTGTGTCTCGCTCTGTCAAATAAATAAATAAAATCTTAAAAAAAAAAAGAAAAGAAATCATTGGATTAATTTACAAAATTGGGATATGAACACTAAATTAGATAAAAGTATGGTATCAGCATTATATTAATTGAGGTTGATAACTATACAGTAGTTATGTAGGAGAAAATCCTAATTCTTTTTTTTTTTTAAGATTTATTTATTTGAGAGAGAGAGAATGAGAGAGAGAGCACATGAGATGGGGGATGGTCAGAGGGAGAAGCAAACTCCCTTCAGGGAGCCCGATGCAGGACTGGATCCTAGGACTCCAGGATCATGACCTGAGCTGAAGGCAGTCGCTTAACCAACTGAGCCACCCAGGTGCCCAAAAATCCTAATTCTTAGGAAATACAAGTTAAGTATTTATAACTAAATGGCCAACTTATTCTCAAATGGTTCAGAAAAAAAAATTGGGGCAGAGAGATAGACAGCAAATGATAAAGCATATATAGCCAGATGTTAACAGAAGGTGAATCCGTGTAAAGGGTTACTGGTGTTCTGAGTTTTTTTTTTTTTAATTCTTGTAGCTTTTCTGCAGGTTTGAAATTATTTCCAAATAAAAAACTTAAATAAAAGGAAAAAGAAAGGGGACAGGGCCATATCCGTGAGATGCAAAGTGGGAGTGAGGTTGTGAACTCTGATATCAGAAAATGAAAATAGGTAAGAATGCTGAAGTCTTTTGTTTGAAAGGGAACAGGGAGTTGGAAATAAACTAAAGATCAAGATGCAAGGTGAGGGGCACCTGGGTGGCTCAGTCGTTAAGCGTCTGCCTTCGGCTCAGGTCATGATCCCAGGGTCCTGGGATCGAGCCCCGCGTCAGGCTCCCTGTTCCGCGGGAAGCCTGCTTCTCCCTTTCCCACTCCCCCGCTTGTGTTCCCTCTCTCGCTGTGTCTCTCTCTGTC